TTGTACATGGAATTGTCGTACACATATACAACACTATATACATGAGATTAACGTCACAGCACCTGCCCGTGTCCCACTGCGTTTTTATCTGGACCCGATTTCTATTATCGTACACGACTTCTATATTTCCACGCAATGTTTATTTATATTCCGACCGTGTGTTTTCGCAGCCGAATCTGATTATATACTCCCCCCCCCCCACCACGAGAATCGTGTTACCATAGTAACATGATAGGGAAACGCATTTTTGATTACATTCTCCTGGTATTATATTGGTGAACGGTACTCGACTGCACACTTTCGTGAGTTGGAACCATCATCATATCAATAGCACATAATCGAGAGTAGGACTGTCATCAATATCAATGCCATCGATATATCGCGCTGGATTTGCGTGCGATATCGATATCGAAAAAAATTCCAGAATAGCGATCCGGTACAGTAAAATAGTATTAGTATGAAACCGTAGTGTTGTAACCTTGTTTTAACCACTCATAAGTTATTCTGCTGAAATATGAGATGGCATTCTCTACTGCAGGTGGTGTTTTTAACAAGAGGGTGAGTTTGGTGTTATATTATATTAGTTATATTATACGAATCGGATCACATCGGATCAAAAAATCGGAAAAAAAAAGTTTTAATAATCGAATCGAAATATTTTGATATCAATGACAGCCCTAATAGAGCACAGGCACTTGAAGCGTATCAACTGTAAACACACGGCCGCCATTGCGCGTACACTAACACATAGATATAGAGTGATATATAGATAGATACTCTATATCTATGTGTTAGTGTACGCGCAATGGCGGCCGTGTGTTTACAGTTGATACGCTTCAAGTGCCTGTGCTAATAGAGAATCTCTATTATGCACTCTTGGTCGTATGTTACTACTTAACACTGTCTGCTTCCCATCACCTATACTCTAGTCACTTACCTTACTTGTTACTTGTGGCCCAATCCTAGTTTAGCACCACGGATTAGTTATACCACAGGCCCTTGGAGGCTCAAGTTTCAAGTTTCAAGTTTCAAG